ACATACATACATACATACATACATACATACATACATACATACATACAGTGGGGAGAACAAGTATTTGATACACTGTTGATTTTTCAGGTTTTCCCACTTGCAACGCTTGTAGATGACTGTAATTTTTATCATAGGTACTCTTCAACTGTGAGTGATGGAATCTAAAACAAAAATCCAGAAAAATACAATGTATGATTTTTAAATAATTAATTTCCATTTTATTGTGTGAAATAAGTATTTGATCATCTATCAACCAGTAAGAATTTTGGCTCTCACAGACATGTTAGTTCTTCTTTAAGAAGCCCTCCTGTTCTCCACCCATTACCTGTATTAACTGCACCTGTTTGGACTCGTGACCTGTATAAAAGACACCTGTCCACACACTCAATCAATCAGACTCCAGCATCTCCACAATGCCCAAGACCAGAGAGCTGTGTAAGGACATCAGGGATAAAATTGTAGACCTGCACAAGGCTGGGATGGGCTACAGGACAATAGGCAAGCAGCTTGGTGAGAAGGCAACAACAGTTGGTGCAATTATTAGAAAATGGAAGAAATACAAAATAACGGAAAATCTCCCTCGGTCTGGGGCGCCATGCAAGATCTCACCTCGTGGAGCATCATTGATCTTGAGGAAGGTGAGGAATGAGCCCAGAATTACATGGCAGGACCTGGTCAATGACCTGAATAGAGCTGGGACCACAGTCTCAAAGAAAACAATCAGTAACACTCTACACCGTCAAGGATTAAAAGCCTGCAGTGCACGCAAGGTGCCCTTCCTCAAGCCAACGCATGTCAAAGCCCGTCTGAAGTTTGCAAATGACCATCTGAATGATCCAGAGGAGGAATGGGAGAAGGTCATGTGGTCTGATGAGACAAAAATAGAACTTTTTGGTTTAAACTCCACTCGTCATGTTTGGAGGAAGAAGAATGAGGAGTACAACCCCAAGAACACCATCCCAACCGTGAAGCATGGCGGTGGAAACATCATTCTTTGGGGATGCTTTTCTGCAAAGGGGACAGGACGACTGCACCATATTGTGGGAAGGATGGATGGGGCCATGTATCGTGAGATTTTGGCCAACAACCTCCTTCCCTCAGTAAGAGCACTGAAGATGGGTCGTGGCTGGGTCTTCCAGCATGATAACGACCCAAAACACAGCCAGGGCAACTAAAGAGTGGCTCCGTAGGAAACATCTTAAAGTCCTGGAGTGGCCTAGCCAGTCTCCAGACCAGAATCCCATAGAAAATCTTTGGAGGGAGCTTAAAGTCCGTGTGGCCCAGCGACAGCCCCGAAACCTGAAGGCTCTGGAGGAGATCTGTATGGAGGAGTGAGCCAAAATCCCTGCTGCAGTGTGTACAAACCTGGTCAAGAACTACAGGAAACGTCTGATCTCTGTAATTGCAAACAAAGGTTCCTGTACCAAATATTAAGTTTCATTTTTCTGGTATATCAACTACTTATTTCACACAATAAAATGGAAATTAATTATTTAAAAATCATACATTGTATTTTTCTGGATTTTTGTTTTAGATTCCATCACTCACAGTTGAAGAGTACCTATGATAAAAATTACAGTCATCTACAAGCTTTGCAAGTGGGAAAACCTGAAAAATCAACAGTGTATCAAATACTTGTTCTCCCCACTGTATATATATATTTTTTTTTTTAATGTTTCTCAAAGTGAAAAACTGATTCTATTAAAATCAATCCTTAATTAGATTAATAAATGTCACCGAGGTGTAACCAAACAAAGTGGTTTAATGAAGTTGCTGAAGGAAAGAATAATTTTGTATCTTTTTACTTGACCTACTTCTCTTCTGCTATAAGTGCATGCAGACTTTGATTCAGGTTCAGTAAAATGCTTCAGAGCAAAGCCTGTGAGATAATGTCCACCTTCAGGCACAGAGAGTGTTCCTCCCTGGACCCTCTCTGTCTTAAATAAATGAGATGGACGACCCATATTTGATGGCTTCTCAAAATGCAGGCGCCCACACTTTAGAATTTACTCTCAAGTCCTTCCACGTCCGGTGGGAGAATTAAAAATGTAAGATCTGGGCCTTTTGGCTTGTGGTCGTGTAGCGCACGTCCCTGCACATACCACAGATGTTCCATTAACCTCGCTCAGCTTTAATATGAATGTTTGCTGACAGGACATTCTTCAGACTAATTGCCTCCCCTGATTTGGGGTGTTTTTTTAAATATCTATTTTTCTTTTGTATGTTCTAGACTTGTCATCATCCAGAGTGCAGATCGTGCTGTCAGCGTCAGATCTTTGTTCGCCTCCTCTCAAACCGCTGACCTTACATTCCAAGGACAAGTCTGATCTTACTGAGTGGTTTCAGAGTCTGTGGTCCTCCACTGCCGATGGCAAGAACAATGAGCAGAAATTCAATTCTTTTTATTAACCGAGCCCCTCAGTGCTAATTTAATTGACCAGTATTTGATGAACCAGTAAATCAATTCGATGATGTCATTTTCTTGCAGATGATGCTGTAGTCACTCCAGACCAGTTTCAGTGGTACTTCTACCAAGACCGAGCCCTGGGTATCCAGGCAGACCTGAACAGTACCTCCATCTGTTCTGGGAAGATCCTAATGGGATCCTACATGAAGAAGCCCCTCTGGGTGGATCACAGTGCAACAACAGTCAGTACCTCACTCATTTTTATTTTCCTAAAATATTCTTGTGTGAATGTTTATGAAGCTTTCACACTATTGGGATCTGTATGTTTATGACATCCACAATTTTGTGCTACTGTATTTCAATAAATCTTACATCAAAACATTCAGCTCTTTCAGGAGAAGGGTGCTTTGACTTTTGGTATTAGTGCAACTTTAGCTTTTTGAAATCTTTACCCTTTTCTGCCACTTTTATTCTCATAGAAAATGAATTGAGCTCATTTTACATCCTTCAAATCTTTAGATCTGTTTACAACCTTTTACTGCTCCTTTCACATTTTGTTCCGTTTCAGCTTCTTTCAGCTTTCTTGTGCAAATTTAAACTTTTTTTTCAGCTACTTTCAGCTGATTTATGCTCCTTTCAGATTCGTTCTGCTAACTAAAACATTTTTGTGCTTCTAACTTATTTTTGCAAATTTCAGCTTATTTCTGCAAGTTTCAGCTTTTTCTGCTATTTCAGCTACTGTTTAGCTGTTTTAATGCTCATTTGAGCGTTTTCGGCTAATTCCTCATTTTTTGCACTCATTTAAACTTTTTCAGCCTGATTCAGCAAAAATGTGCTCTCTCCTCTTCCTTCTGGTAATTTTAGCTTCTTTTAGGAATCTTTAGCTACTTTTCAGCTGTTTTCTTTTCCAATTTCAGCTTTTTTCAGATAACATCTAATTTTAATGCTCACTTCTGCTTCATTCAGTCTAATTGGGTAAACGTGTTCTTTCTGCTTTCTTCTGTCAAGCTTGGTCTACATTTTCAGCTACATTTTTTTTTTAGCATTTCCAACTAATTTCAGCTATTTTCAGATAAATTCAAGTTATTTTTGGTAATTTTTGCTACTTTCAGCCTAATTATTTTAGCTCATTTCAGCTCCTTCCACTTCCTCCTGGTAGTTGAAGCTTTTTTCTGCCTTTTCAGCTAATTTTAATTTTTTATGCTCATTTCAACGTTTTTAGCTAATTTCCCCAATTTTGTGTTCATTTCGGCGTATATAAATCTAATTCAGCAAATGTGTGTTCTTTCTGCTTTTTTCTGCAAACTTATACTTGTTCTTCAATTTCGGCTACATGGCAGCATGTTTTGAGCTAATTTCAGCTGTTTTCAGCGATTTCCTTCAGCAATAAGCATTCACACTGCATTTTCGCATGAAACCCAATTTCTCTAGTTATTTTCTTAATTTGTGATTCTTTCTCTTATTGTTTTAATTCAAAGGTTTTTAATTTATTGACGAGCTCCGTGAGCGTTACCGTTGATGGCCGTGTGTCTCGCTACAGCCCCGGACAAGCGTTTATCGTGGAGTGTGGTAAGAACATCATAACGTTACATCAGCTGCATTAAGGGGCAAATAAAGTGCCACGCAGGAAAAATACAAGCCAAGTAAATTTGAACATGTAGTTTTGGATTATAACGAAATAAAATCTTTTATTTCTTGTTTTTCAGGTCGAGCCTACAGCATTCACAACCCCAACGCACTGCCGGCTGTTCTGTACTTCACCAGGATTTCTGCAGAAAGTTCAGACTGAAGTCGTTTAAATGTTGTTGGAAACGACTGAACATCTAAAAAGCCTCAGGATGTGTAATTAAATGTTACCAGTTTAGTGTCATTGGATATTTGTTGTAAATGTAGAATCTTTGGACTATTTTTACAAACTTTTGATAAACAACAGCTACGCCTAAAACTTTAAGTTAGTGATAAAGGAAAAAAACAAAACATAAATACTTGTAAATAAAAGTAAAAATGCTCTTAATTTCAGTTTATTGGTGTTAAATAAAAATGATGCATATATCTCTGCTTATGAATGATTCCTGTAACGAGTGGTTTACTTCACTTTTATTTTATTTTTAGTTATTTTATATTATTTAATGTACAACTGGAATGCAAGTTCTTGAATATGTTTTTAATAAAAACAAGAACTTGGTCAGCTTTGTTAGTTTGTAAATTGTGATGTGTATAAATCAATAGATTTGCAGGTAAACATTTTTTTTATATTTCAGATTAAGTATTTTAAGTTAAATACAGATTTAAAGGTAAAACAACACATTTAAAAAACCATGTATTTAAGAAGCTGCTAAGCATTTATTAGCAAATTTAAAAAAAACTTGTATAATGGAGTTGGATTAGAAAAGTTTTTTATCTAAAGGTTAGGAGCTCTGGATTGATTTTGAAATTTACAGTTTTATATCGAAAGCAAAACATTCACACATCAACAAAACAATTAATTGGTTAAAATTGCAGTTTTGTTTAAACAGGAACTAAATAATTAAAAATATTTGATAACAGGAACCAAATTGGATAGTTTGCTGTCTGTATTCAACATTTATGCAACTTCTGATACCAACAGTCCCAACACATACATCAGTCATTTTGCATATTTTATCTAAATCTTGAATGTTCCACGTGTGTCCTTGTTCGATCAGCTGACGTTTGCTGATCTTATGCTCATTAAAAAAAAGTTTATGAAAAAAAGCATTTTTATGGACACAGCGATATGATTTCTGAACAGGATAGGAAATGATGCCGATACTTATGTAAATTACATCATTTGCCCCACTCTGAGCCCTTGAGCAAGGCACTTAGCCCCCACCGTCTGCTCCGCTGGGCACCCTAGATGTCAGCTCCGCTCTACACGGAGGGCTGTGGTAGCTCGGTGGTCTGTGGTAGCGTCAGGAAGGACGTCCTGTGTAAAACGATTGGCAGGTTTTTTAATTTATTAATACAGGTAGTCTCACCGAGTCACGAGGGCTTGTTTTTGGTGGATGGTGGGAGTTGGGGAGGGCCTTGCTTGAGGACCCAGGGTGGGGCGGGAGGGGGTTTCACCTTTTTCACCTACATTTTGATGTCATTTGTGGAGTCGAGCCGGCGACCTTCCGATCACAGGTCCACCTTTTCTAACCTCTGCGCCACCACTCCCCCGCTTAATACACTTTTCATTCATTCAACCTTTATTTAGACAGGTTAATCCCATTGAGCCTCGAGGACTCGTTTACAAGAGAGACCTGATTTAACAAAGAATGATGACAACAATGGACAACAGTAGACCGTTATAAAAAGGCATACAGTTTTTTTGTTTACAAATAAAATGGCAAAAAATAACAAAAACATCGAGATTATAAGGCGAATGTAGAAAACTCAAAACAGGAACATGTGGAGCCAGGAGTCCACAGTTCTCTGTGGCGACCCCTGAAGAATGGAGCAGCCGGAAGAAGAAGAATCAGATTTCACAATTATCTTTTCAAGTTGAATTAAGAGATTAATTAATTCAGCTCTCACGTCTATGAAACTGAACAGCAAAAGAAGAATATTGCTCTAAAACAAAAATACCGGTAGCTTTTTAAGTCTAATTTACCAGAGAAAGCTGGTCCAGAGCTGCATCAAGTTTAAGTTAAATGCAAA